ATCTGCCTTCAAGTCAACTTCGACTCATGGCAACCCTGTGAATGAGACATCTCCATGTTCCCCTATTCTCAACCTCTCTACTCAAATCCTGCAGGTTCAGGCTTGTGGCTTTCTTGACTGAGTCTACCCATCTGGTCTTCCTCTTTTTCTACAGTTCTCTAGCTTTCCCACCATTATTGTCTTTTCTAATGAATCATGACTTTTCATGACAAGGCCAAAGTATAACAGCCTCAATTTAGTCATCATGGCTTCCAGGAAAAGTTCAGGCTCGATCTGTTCTAGGATCCTATTGTTTGTGTTTTTGGCCATCCATGGTATCCTCAGCACTTCTCCAACAGAACAACTCAAATGAGTTGATTTTCTTCCTATCCACTTCCTTCAATATCCAGCATTTACATCCATACATGGAAATGGTGAATACAATGGCTTGGACAATTCTGAATTTAGTATTCAGTTGGTATCTTTACACTTTTGGATCTTGTCTAGATCTTTCATAACTGCCCTTCCCCTTCCTAGTTTTCTTTTGAATTCTTGACTGCAGTTTCCATTCTGATCAAGGTTTGATCCAAGGTATGGGAATTCTTAAATTATTTTGATTTCCTCATTATCTAGGTTGAATTTATGTAAATCCTCCATGGTGTGTGTGTGTGTGTGTGTATGAATATATATAGGGAGGTTGCAGACTGCCAGAAATAGTGCAAATTCAGTCCACTTTTAGGGTTAGGGTTAGGGTTAGGGAATCATGGGAACTGTATTTTAATCGTGGCACCAGAGTTCTCTGACAGAGAAGGCTCAATGTCTCAGGAAAAAACCAATTCCCATGGTTCCCTAGCACTAACCCTAACCCTAAAAGTGGACTCAATTTGCACTATTTCTGGCAGTCTGCAACCCCCCATATTCAGCAATAAACCTTTTGCACTTTCTTCCTTGACTTCCTTTAGTAATTGCTCCAAGTCTATGATGCTTTCTGCTAGTAGTATGATGCCATCTGCTTATCTTAGATTGTTGGCATTCCTTCCTTCTATCTTTACTCCTCCTCCTACCAGTTCTAAGCCTGCTCTTCATATGATATTTTCTGCATACAAGTTGAACAGATAGGGTGATAAAGTACAGCCTTGGCTTACCCCTTTGCCAGTTGGGAACCATTTTGTTTCTCTGTATTCTGTTCTTACAGTATACAGTACATATTCTTCATCAGGACTATCAAATGTAGTGGCACTGCCATTTCTTTGAGAGTATTCCATTATCATGGCTACTCCTGTGGAAATAAGTGATTCACATTAATCTAGAGTCTTTTAAAAATGTGATTTAAGATGGGGCTCTCCAACACACATCTATCCTGAAATTTCTTTAACCTAATCCTGACTTCTCATTGCCAATATACCAAATTCCAGTGATGACCCCAGCTGTCATAGTATAGGTTCTTCTTAAATCTTTAATTACCCCTCCCACCAAGGCTGTTTCATTATATTTTTGGTATCCTAGAAGTAGTACAAATTCTTTCTCCTCTCACTCACATACAAATCACATACAAATAAACAGAATAATAATCTGTTGGTTCCTGAGCAGCTTGAAAGGAGATAGTAAGGAAAACATTCCACACGTTTCCTGGAATATTGATTTCTTGCATTTGTAATACTTTTGAAAATCTTTCCATTTCTCATGAACCTTTGAAGGATAATAAGCAAATATCTCCTTTTAAAAATATTCATTCTCAAGAGACAAATTCCTGCACCAATATCTCTTCACAACTGGTGCCGCAAATATACCAGGCATATCCTCCAACTGTACTGATTTGGTAAAGATAGTCCCAATTAATTTTCTGCCATTCTCCCCACACTTTCCCCCTTTGTCTTCATTTTACTTCTGTTGTTTCATACAGAGGT